TTAAAAGGGTTAACATTAGATTAACTGGGATGTCGTGCCCATCAAGCGTGGATAAGGTCGGCTGGTGGCAGGCACTGGAAGGAAATTATTTTATGCCGAGGGGGGAAGTGAGAGGAAGTGGACATAGGAGCATGGTCTGTTTATTGGCAAGGATGGTTGGGTTGGTTCACTGTATAACACTATGTGTTAAGTTATGTATATGTATATATGTTAAGTTATGGTTATTTATGTTTAACGTTTTGGTTACAGAAAAGAAGAACATTTATTAAATAAATTATGGATGTGTCATACAGTATTTATGATATGTTATAATAAATGCTGTGGCCTGTTTCATCCATACTACGTTGTCTGTCATCTGTTATTATTTGGGGGGTTGAATGGGTTTTACTTTATATAGTATGCTGCATCGCGATTCCCCACTACGTACTGACAAGACCTCCCCATAGGAAAGCATTATTCAATGCTTTCGTATGGGGATTCTGGTGATGCTGGTGGTTCTCATGCAGAGCGTGAGCACGTCCAGCGTCGTTTAGGCAACCAAAAGTCATCTAAGAAGCCGGAAGTCTTTCACTGAACAGTAAATTGTAGTAAATTGAAAGCCAAAGTGCAAAATTTAGGATAAAATAGTCAAGCCAAATGTAATGTTCATCTACATTTTGCAATTTGGTTTTCAATTATATAATAAGCGGTTTAGTGAACAAATTCTTAAAGGGACACTCCACTGCCTAAATTAGAAATATGTATGCATTTAACTATGCATTTTTTCATTAGGGGTATATCTAAACACAGTTTGCAAAGGAAGCAGATCTCTTGCCGGCTGCCTTTCAGCCCCTTCCCTTCTTTCTAACCCAGCCCAGATTTTCTGTGGCTCCCAATGCTCCCATTGATAAATATTTGCAAAACAGGTGCTCTGGGCAATTGTCCAACTCCTGAGTTTAGCTCCACTGAGCTAAGCTACCAGGAAGTAACAGGGTCGATTGTCTGATTGACAATTGACAGCCGGGGGTAAATCAAAGTTAATTTATAAATTTCTACTGAAATTTGTATGTATTGTATAATTTAAAAAAGGACACATGCCACACAAGCTAAAGTGCTTTAGGGGATGCAATGTTTTGTTAAGGAAATCTTGCATGGATGATTGCATTTTAAAGGGACAGCATAGGTACCCAGACCACTTCATCTCATTGAAGTGGTCTGAGTGAAGTGCCCCTGTCTGCTTAACCCTGCAAGTGAAAACATTACAGTTACAGGGTGGCTGCAAGTAAACACATTGCAGTTTCTAATGGCTTTCTTCCAGACTTGTGGTACACTTGTGGTGCTGCCTGAATTCTAAAAGAGTTTAACTCCATGAAACATTGGACGCCCTTACACTTTGCATGAGGCCATCTAACATCTTTCAGTTCCCTATAGAAAAGCATTGAGTCTGTGCTGTCCTGTGTACCAGGGCCAGACTGGGAAAATAATTTGGCACGGGCATTAATTATAGCAGCCCACTAAAAAGGGGGCGGGGTAGAGAGGGTGTTTTTTGTCATCACCAATGACAAGCACGCCTCCCCTCAAAGTGAGCATGTTGTTTTAATGCTCTTCCAGGGCAGACCATGCGCAGAGCTCTGCTGAAGAGCTCTAGTATGAGAAAAATGCCTGTATTTGTTCTGCACAGTGCAATCTAATTTAATAACATGTTTGCGATGTGTTTCCTTGCAACTTGTCTCTGGTATCTCCATAAGTGGGATACCAGGAGACAAAAGGGCCAGGAAAGAGTATTGTGCATGTGTTTGGAGCCTGCTTGTGGGATTGCGTGTGTGTAGAGTGAGCTGATTGTGGTGTGGTATTGTGTAATAAGAACGGTTTTAGTCGTGTTGTGTTTGTGGTGTAATGTAATGCATGTGTGGCTAGGGGCTGTAGAGAGTGTGTATGCGTATAGGGCTATGCACTATGTGTTAGGGGTGCAGTGTTTGTGTGAGGGGTGCTGTAGTATATATATATATATATATAGTGTGTGTGTGTGTGTGTGTGTGAGTGGTACAGTGTGTTGGGGGGTTGTGTGTGTATGTGTAAGGATTGCAGTGTGTGTGAGTGAAGGGTGAAGTGGGTGTGTGTGAGGAGTGTAGTGTGTATGCGAGGGGTGCAGTGTGTGTGTGAGTGGTGCAGTGTGTGTGTGTGAGGGGTAAAGTGTGTGTGTGAGAGATGCTGTGAGTGTGAGGGTGAAATGTGTGTGTGAGAGAGTGCTGTGTGTGTGTGAGGATGTTGTGAGTGTGAGTGGTGAAGTGTGTGTGAGAGGGAGCTATGTGTGTGTGCATGTGTGTGTGAGGGTAATGTGTGTTTTAGAGGGTAATGTGTGTGTGTTTTAGGGTGATGTGTGTGAGTGTTGTGTGTGAGGATGATGTGTGTGAGAGTGCTGTGTGTGAGTGTTGTGTGTGATGTGTGTGAGGGTGATATGTGTGAGAGTGCTGTGTGTGAGAGTGTTGCGTGTGAGGGTGATGTGTATGAGGGTGATGTGTGTGAGGGTGATGTGTGTGAGAGTGCTGTGAGTACATGCAGGGAGGTGTGACTACAGCTGCATAAGCAAAATAATTTAGCTCCTAAATGGCAGAGAATTGAGCAGTGAGACTGCAGGGGCATGATCTATACAACAAAACTGCTTTAGTAAGCTAAAGTTATTTTGGTGCCTATAGTCTCCATTTAATAATCACTGTTTAGTAGATATACCCAAGACAAAAACACTCCCATTATATCCCAGCCCAGACTTTCTGTTGTTGTCTAATCACAGACTTTCCAATGTAGCTCAATGAGGCGTTTTTTAGCTCTGAGCTAAATGAGCTCAATGAGGCGTTTTTTAGCTCTGAGCTAAACAACCAGGAAGTAACATAACATGTTATCTGATTGACAGCCAAGGGGTGTGTAACAAGGTAAATTTATAAAAGTTGCAATTTCTATTGAAATCTACACTATTTATAAAATGAAAAAAGAGGACACCCTTTATACATAAAGCACTTCAGCAAGCTTGAGTGTCTTGGTGTATGGAAAGTTTGATGTTTCTTGGTAGTTTTTCCACTGTTGTAATTCACAATGGGGAAAGTGCTGTGTTGTAAAACTGGCTGCAGAAATGCAAACAAGGATGAGTCGTCATTGGAATGTGCCTACTGGTTTTACTGGCTTCCACAGTGACATTCTCTCTCTCTCTCTCTCTCTCTCTCTATATATATATATATATATATATATATATATATATATTTTAACAAAAAGGATTGGATACATATTTTGGAAAACAGAATATTGAACGATATAATTGATATGTATGTGAACAGGTTATTGATCCAAGGAGAAATTTGACTGTCATTATGGAATCAAAAAGGACCATGGGGTCCTATGCAGGTCAATTGCTCCCCCTCCCCCAGCCCCCCACCTCCACCCCATATTGTTTTCTTCTTATATTTTAGTTGTATACATTTTTATTAGTAAGTCACCTCATTTTTTTCTGAACAGCCCTTCCACTTGGCATACCCCACCCACACCCCTAAAATTAAAGTGTCCCGTTTTGTTAATTGGAAATGTTGAGATGCATGGGGATATGCACTGTACCATTAACAGTCATTATTAGTTATAAATGACCTAGTTAGTGGTCTTTCTTACAATAACTACTTTGGTGCCAGGACGCAGAACTTGAATAACATCATTATGTTGCTTATAGCTGAATAACAAAGTGGAACAGTAATTTCCCTCTGTCTCTCTCACCAGTTCTTTATGCAGAGTTATGCATTAACATGTATTGAATTAGGACGTCCAGCTATCTGTGCAGCCAGATTCCCTACACACAGATACGTTAATGCAAAGTGATCAGTATTGTTTTTACTCTTCCCCAGTATTCATTAGCAGGCTAATGCAGTGTGACAGTCCCAATGTATTCTCAATTTAGACGTATTAATGGAAAACTGACATTTACTGCAAACTATAATCAACATGCAGTTTAAGACACAAATACAGCTATGAAAATACAGCAATATAATTTAGCATCTATTGCAGCAATGACTGGAGAAAGCGATTTGGCTTTGATTTTGCTGATCAATGGAAACCACCGGCTGGGAGTCGCTTAGTAATAATGAGAGTGACTATGATGTGGGTGAAGCCGGTTTAATTCACAGTGGCAGTTCCTTGTGCTGATTCCAGAATAGCGCATGTTACATGAGCCAGAAAATGTATATTCAGTTATTTACAATATGCGTATTTAGCACAAGCAATTTAAAACCTTATATTGCTCAAAGCAGAAGTGTAGGATTCAAGGGATCCAGAAATGTAATATTATAGTACATCATAGCATATTTTATTGATTACATGTGTTTGCTACCTCTCAAACTGTCTGTCTGTCTATCTTCCAAAATACCTATTGTATTTAGGCTAGGGAAAAAAAAAAGTAGTCTTACTTACTGTCAATCTTGCAAAATTGCCTGTGGGACACCATTTCATTAGCTAGCCTGGGACTTTCATTTTGGGCAGGCTAATGATTCCGCTGGATGCAGCTATCCTAAACATAGATAGTGCATTCGCATACAGGCTCCTTGAACCATGACCAGACCACTTCAAAACACTGGAGTGGTCATGGTGCTTGGAGTACTCCTTGCACTCCTGTATACTAACACTGCTTCATTACGCTAAAGTTGTTTTGGTGATTATCCCTTTAACAGAGCTTGTACAGTGATGTTTTACCCTTTGATTGACTGGAGCTTGGTTTGAAGAACCAGCATTCAGATGAGAGAATCTGATTGTCTGCTCTGTTTATTCACACTTGTATATACTTAATTAACTCTTGTACTACTGCTCTTTTTTGTAAATATTTGCTACTTGCTGCTGGTGGGCAAATAATCTAAAATTTTAAAAGTATTCAGACTTTAGTAAATAACACTGTGGGTGTTCTAGTTTAATGGTTAATTTCAACCACCATGACCACGTCATTCTGATATATTGTCAATTATGTGCCTGGGGCAAGTTGTACCCCCAACACCCGTGACTTAGGCAGCCCGGAACAGAAGTCAATGTCAATTCTGTGCATAAATTACATCTGTTGTCAGCATGCACTGCAAATTGACAACTGTGGTGAACTGAACCTCGTCACAGGTTCTTGGAGGGGCCTGCTGGCCAGCCTCTTACCTCAGGACTATGGCCCATGTGTTATATTTTGGTTCAGCACTATGGAAAGGCTTTGTTCGTGCCTGTTCCCTTCTATGGTTTGGTATATGGGGCTTACCGAACGGATTATACTTATGCTGTTCGTATGCCAAACCAATTACCGAACAGTTGGACCACCTGGAAGTGGAGTGTGTCGCTTAAAACCTTATTGACCTCATTAACTGCAATGTTCTAAATGGTCGGTTGGGTGGCCACCGTTTGTATGGACGAACACGAGGTGGCAGCTATCTTGTTCCCGCAAATGCGTATAGCGGTGTTTGGTCGTCGAGTGTATGGTACCCAAATCAGACACTCGATGGCGTGAACACCGCTTGGACTTCCATCTCCAAGTATGTTCGGTGGCATTTGTATGAGAAGAGTGGCGTTCGGTGGGAGCAAACTCCCGAACGCGGGACATAAGGCAAGCATTCACACGAACAGCTCCATTCATATTTATAATGTATTTTGTACTCCCGAAAGTGACCGACCACACAGCCTGATTTCACGGAACTCTTTTGGGCAGGAGCCTCCATGGAAATCCCGAGCCCCTGAACCGATCTTGGTGATTTTGGATATGTTGGTCCCCCAGTTTGGGGCTATCAGAGGATGTGACTGTTGTTGGTCCCCCAGTTCGGGGCTATCAGGGGATGTGTTTTGGGAGTACTGTTGGGAGGTTGTAAAATGTGTGTTTTCTGTGCCTGGAGATAATTGAGTTTAGTACAGTTCCTGACTCAATTATCTCCCAGGCACAGAAGAGGGATTATCTTGTTTTATGTGGGAGTATCCTGGACCTGAGAGCCAATGTAATAATGTGCATGTTTTTGCTGTAGTCTACTTTCAGGTCCAGTGGGGAATGCCCCTGGAATATGTTTGAGGAAGCACCTTGTATGGGGACTGACATAAATGGCCGTGTGTGGCTCCCATTAAACAGATCATTTTACCCCTTCATGAAGTCTAGGCTCATGTTTGGGGCATTGGGAGCTATATTCACTCTGGGGATTGCTATAATCACTATACTCCCTTGGATTACAACACTTGCTCTTGTAAGAGCAGCCTGCTTTGCTCTCTGGACTAAGAGAGGTCTATCCACCGGAAGCTGGATCCTGGTCTTGGGTCCAGGGTGGGTGGAGGACAGCGAGGCCCCAACCAAGCTGCGGTGGTTTCTGGGGTTTATGGTGGTTATGGTGTCTGGTGTGGTTCTTATGGTACTCAAGGATTACCATGAAGCAGTGATTGACAGAGATACCCAGTCAGGGTGCCAGGCGGTCCATCACAACAACAGACATTAAAATCTTCCCTTTACACAAGATAGATCTCTCCTCCCACCCACCCACCCACTCTGTTCTCCCTCTCGCCTCCCTCTGTGCTCATTGGTGTATTTTTTTCTGGAGAATGGTCCCAGTGACATCAGATGGGGTTGTGGAACAAGCAGCCAGAGGAGCTTCACCAGGGGCTGGATTGCACGTAAGTAAAACCTTTTTTTTTTCAGGTTTTACAACAATTAGAGAGGGAGTGCCTTTCCCACAGTGCCCAGTAGGGCCCCTCTCAATAAAATTATAGTAACTTTTTAAAGCAGAAAATGTCTCCCATCAGTAATCTACTTTGTTTGTTTTGTTTTTATCTTACAGTTATTTCATTTAATTTGTGTATCAGTATTGCCCTGTTCTTCGTTTGTCAGTGAAGTAACATATCCAATTTACTGGAGCTGCCCAATCAGAGTTAAGCCAGATAAAGACAGATTAGTTTTAGTGGTGAAGTATGTTTTGATTTTAGCTACGTTTTCAACAGCTGTCTCAGTGCTAATCCAGATGTCCAGGAAACATGCTTGTGATAGTAGCCTTTCTGGAAAAAAAAAGACCAATCTTTCATATCCATTAGATTTTTAACTGAACACTTGTCTGGAGACATCCTTGCAAGTTGACATGTAATGATCCAGTTGAGCAGAAATGAAACATTATCGGGAATATGAATACCTCTCAATACAAAGCTTAATTATAGTTGGTGTCAAAGTAATGCCACACCACACATTTGTTGTTGTTGTTTTTTTCTATAGGGTGTGCACTGTGCCATCTTGAACCTTTTTATTTAAGCTATTTGTTGCATAATTTTTATTAACACATAGAAAGACACTATGTTGTTCTGGCCTAAGAAAAGGTGTTATTTCCAGTTGCTAGAAGACTGGAAGCTCTTTGCTTATTTGTTACTATCTTACCTGAGTAACCGAACCCTGAACTCCTGTTCCTGTTACACTCTCTAGTAACCAGTTAACCAGTTGTTGCTTTTGACCATTGTAATTGTAGTTGGACCTTTGATACCTGCCTTGATCTTATGATCTGCCTGACCAAACCCCTGCCCTATCCTTTCTATACTTCATTATACGATACTTGATTTATAGGATAATATTGATTTGCACCTGAGCTGCTGATATGCTGCTTTGGGTTCCATGACAATGTACCACTGACAAAGACTAGTGAGTCTTATAATTGTCAGAGGAGCTATAAATATAAATACTTAACTCATCTTTCTTCCTGTAATTCAGTTTATTCAGTGATCGCACCCAACTCACCCCATCATCTGAAATATCCCTTAACAAATATTTAACTTTTATTTTTTTGTCATACAATCAAAACTTTCACATCCCTTAAAGGACCACTATAGTGCCAGGAAAACATACTCGTTTTCCTGGCACTATAGTGCCCTGAGGGTGCCCCCACCCTCAGGGACCCCCTCCCGCCCGGCTCTGGAAAGGGGAAAGGGGTAAAAACTTACCTTTTTCCAGCGCTGGGCGGGGAGCTCTCCTCCTCCTCTCCTCCTCCGTTACGCCCGACAGATGCGCAGCGCGGCAAAGGCTGCGCGCGCATTCAGCCGGTCTCATAGGAAAGCATTTACAATGCTTTCCTATGGACGCTTGCGTGCTCTCACTGTGAAAATCACAGTGAGAAGCACGCAAGCGCCTCTAGTGGCTGTCAATGAGACAGCCACTAGAGGAAATAGGGGAAGGCTTAACCCATTCATAAACATAGCAGGTTTCTCTGAAACTGCTATGTTTATGAAAAAATGGGTTAACCCTAGAAGGACCTGGCACCCAGACCACTTCATTAAGCTGAAGTGGTCTGGGTGCCTAGAGTGGTCCTTTAACTTCACTACAACCATGTATATGAGTGGGTTGTGCATTTTCAGGGAAAATTACTATCTATAATTTACTAAAAATATTTTAAAAATGAGTTACATCATAATAAATTCTTGTTCTGGTGTCTGAAATACAAAATTAATTCTACATATCTTCACTGCTATATTTTATTACATCCTGGAACTGTGTGCTTCCACTGTGGGTCCCTGTCAGTCATGGTTATAAGCTCTTATTCTGTTATTAAATGTGGTAAGTGGGGATGAAAACATTATTTTAGATACCTCCTTCAATGCATTGAGCAAATTTGTGATGTCAAAGACTAATTTTTTAATACACGTTTAAAAAAATAAAGCATCACTAAAAAAACACAAATGATAAATTATTTTTAGCACAGACATGCTATTTAGCTTATAAACCGCAATCCACCAGATTCCCTTGTGACATTTAACCATCCTCTGCAACTAAAGACATAGATGTGTAGGTGATGTCCTGCAGAATCAGCAGATACCTTCCCTTTAAAAATCATTCAAGGGGGGTCACAAAAATGTTTACAAATCACTTCACATTGGTTAGGCCAAGAAGCCGTTGACTAAATTTATACTAACACCTAAAATCAGGAGGTGAGAACCACAGCCACCATATTAAAAGCTACATGTTTCATAGCCTGTTTAAATGTCCTCCAAATCCCCAGAAAATAATTTAAACTCTGACCTCGACATGAAAGATGAGTAATCCTACCCACATGAGTATACTGGCTGTTCGGTTAGAATGGAAAACAACAACAACAGTAATGCAAGGCTGCGCCAAAATGTATCAATGTGGACTACAAATAGTAAAAAGACATATAAATAAAACTTATAAAAGTAAAATAAAATATCGAAAATAGTCCAAAAAGATTTTAGAAGTTGCACTGTGTCAATAGATGTCTTATAAGGTGCTTTTGGTAATGGGGTCTCTTCTCTGTTTATAGTAGTCCAGTTGGTCTCGTCATATGGAAGACACAAGATAAGAGACCAATCATATAGAGTGTAAGGGTCAATATATGTGAGATAAAGATATAAATATTCCACTCACATTTAAATGAGCTATAGCCAGCTCAGGTATAACAGGCGTACAGCGGAACAATCCCCGCTTATGGGATATATGGATGATTGTCCTCTGGAGGGAATGGTGTCCAACTCTCAGGAAAAGGGATATATAAAAACAACTAATAGTGCTCACTGGTTAACACGGTGTAAAAGTTGTTTAAATAAATAAAAATTTACTTACAAGTGTAGTGCAGGCCAACTGCACTATGGTAACAGCGTTGGTGGTATGATCCCAACCTCGGATAGGCTTGTAAGCACGTGATAAAATCAATTTGATGCCAGGTGAAAATAAATAAAATAGTGTGTAAAAAGATAGTTGGCACAGATAGTAACCAAAAAATCTTCTTTAATTATATAAAATACACAATTAATAAAACCATTTACGCATTTCGCCACTAGGGTTGTATTAATTGTGTATTTTATATAATTAAAGAAGATTTTTTGGTTACTATCTGTGCCAACTATCTTTTTGCATGCATACTATAGAGGGTTACCCTCTGCTAGGCCGCTGCCCATCCACCTTTTTATTATTAGCGCTAACCTCCTTTCTTGTTTTTACATCGTGGCTGTTCAGTTCCCTTTACTCCACTTTGGCCAATATGGGTGATCCAGGCCCTATGTAAGTGCAAGCACAATTTTACAGGTGTTAGCCACATAGCCAATTTCCTCTGAAAAGTCTTTTCCAATGAACCAGTGAGAAGCTGGAGTATTGGAAATACAGGATTACGTCTTTACTGCAAAATAAACTTGTTCTGAAAGCATTCACATTAAGATCTTGAATATATACAATATATCATTGAATAACAAGAATAATAATAAAAAAATAAAAAAAAAACAATAGAAATGATTTTTATCTTGACAGGCTTAGTGTACACCAGGGGTCAGCAACCAATGGTACGTGTGCCATGCATGGCACTTGAGATGTATTTGCATGGCACTCAAGGCTGCCAGAGCCAAACCGTGAGTGGTGATTACAGGTGGTGAAGGACAATCCTCAATTAACTCACTGCAGCACTTGGAGGAAGTGATCTCAGATCATTGTCTCCCAGCACTTGTGAACAGTAATCTGCACTTGACTACAGCAGTTTACAGAAGTTTACAGCAACTATTGCAGCTCCTGCCCTTAACCTGCACCTGGCCAGCCTGGTACCCACTGGACCCCAGGGAAGCCACCCATACTGCTAGATATACAAAGAACTGCAGAATAAGCCTCCCCATTATACAAATAATACAAAGAGTCAACACACAAAAACACACACAGTCCCCACATACACAACAGCACTGATAATCTACATGCTCGCACACAACTCACAAGCAGCCTCACATGCAATACTACATGCAGCCCCACACATACACACAACACCAAACACACTATATGATATACCATCCACATATACAATTCCACAAGCAGGCTCCATGTGTGTGTTTCTGTGTAAATGCATGTGTGTCTGTGTATCTGCACGTGTGCCAGGGTGTGCATCTGTAGGTGTTACAGACACCAACACATCCTCATGCACAGGTACCTATCCTGACACACATATACACATGCAGATACACAGAGTTACACACCATGACACACTGATACATACTGACACACATGCAGATACACAGACACATGGATACATACAATGACACACCTAAGGATACACAACCTGACATGGTTTGCTGTGTGCATGTGAGAGGGGTGCTGTGTGTGTGTGAGGGGAGCTGTATATGTGTGAGAGAGGGGTGATGGATGCTATGTTTGACAGGGGTGCTGTGTGTGTGTGACAGGGTGCTGTGTGAGGGGTGCTGTGTGTGTGTTTGTGTGTGTGGGATGCTTTGTGTGTGGGATGCTGTGTGTGTGTGTGTGTGTGTGAGGGGGTGCTGTGTGTGAGGGATGCTGTGTGTGTGAGGGATGCTGAGTGTGTGAGGGGTTCTGAATGTGTGTGTGTGAGAGAGGGATGCTATGTTTGTGTGTTTGAGGGGTGCTGTGTGTGGGTGAGGGGTGCTGTGTATGTGAGGGGTGCTGAGTGTGTGAGCTGTGCTGAGTGTGTGAGGAGTGCTGAGTGTGTGTGTGTGTGTGTGTGAGAGGGGTGCTATGTTTGTGTGTGTGAAGGGTGATATGTGTGAGGAGTGCTCTGTGTGTGTGTGTGTCTGAGGGGCGCTATGTGCATAGGCGTGCGCAGCCTATTGCATTAGGGTGTGCACCCTAAAGCACAAACACACGCCGCATGTGTGTGTGTGGGTGTGTGTGTGTATATATATATATATATATATATATATACACACACACCCACACACACACACATACACTGCTGTGTGTGCTGTTAGTGTGCTGTGTGAGGGTGCTGTGTGCTGTTAGTGTGATGTGTGTGTGAGGGTGCTGTTAGTGTGATGTGAGGGTGTTTGTGTGTGTTTGTGACTGTGCTGTTTGTGTGTGAGGGTGTTTGTGTGTGTGTGTGTTTGTCCTGTGAGGGTGCTGTTTGTGTGAGTGTCGTGTATTTGTGAGGTTGCTGTTTGTGTGTGTGTGTGAGGGTGCTGTTAGTGTGCTGTGTGTGAGGGTGTTGAGTTTTTTTTAAAGGTGCTGTGTGTGTTTGTGAGGGTGCGGTTAGTGTACTGTGTGTGTGTGAGCTGTATGTGTGTAGGTGCTGTATGTTTGGAGGGATTGTGGAGGTGGGGGCAGATTAGTAAATCCTTGCTGCCATGTGCCATCCCTGGTGGTCCAGTGGAGAGTGAACTCTAGCCTGCGGGGCTAGAGTTAACTCTCGCGAGATCTGAGAGTTGCCACAGCAACGCTCAGATATCGCGAGAGGAACCTGGCGGAGCTTCTGTCTAGAGATCCCTGGGTCCTCTCCTGCCTCCCTTCATGTGGGCCGGTGTGGGATCGGGATTCCCACCCCCCCAAAAAAATAATATACGTGTGTGTGTGCGCATATATATATATATATATATATGCGTATACACACACACACACACACTTACAGACACATTCAGACACACACATACACTCACAGACACACACACATTCACAGACACACACTCACACCCATACACTCACAGACACACACACATTCACACACACATACACATACACTCACAGACACACACACATTCACAGACACACACTCCCACACAGACACACACATTCACAGACACACACTCCCACACAGACACACACATTCACAGACACACACAGACACACACACATTCACAGACAAACACTCACAGACACATACACTCACAGACACACACACACACACACTCACAGACACACACACATTCACAGACACACACTCACACACAGACACACACACATACACTCACAGACACACACACAGAGACACACACACATTCACAGACACACACTCAGACACAGACACACACACACACATACACTCACACACATAGAAATTATTATATTTTAATAACACAATGTCAACCCAGCCTCCTTACCTGGAGTGCTGGCGTGGACTTTTCACTGGGGTCCAGTGGGGCGGGTGCCTGTCTGCATCTCAGCTGCGGCAAGGGAGCTGTCTGCTCTCTGCTTCCACTCGCCGCGCGGGCTGTCTCCTGTAGCTGGGAGCCGGAATATGACGTCATATTCCGGCTCCCGGCATGAGCGCACGGCGAGAGGAAGCAGAGAGCAGACAGCTCCCTCGCCGCGGCTGAGATGCAGAGAGGGGGGTATTCATCACCTCTTGCCCTCCCCATGACAGGGGCAAGAGGTGAGACAGGGGGCGCTGATTGTCTGCAGGAACAGCGTTCCTGCTCAAAAAAAAGTGCAGGAACACTGTTTCTGCAGGACTCAAACCATAGGCGTGCCACGGGGATTAGGGTGTGCCCAGGCACACCTGGCACACCCCGTGCGCACACCTATGGCTATGTGTGTGTGTGTGAGAGGGGTGAGGGATGCTGTATGTGACAGGGTTGCTGTGTGTGACAGGGGTGCTCTGTGACATGGGTGCTGTGTGAGGGGTGCTGTGTGTGTGTGGGGGGGGTTGCTGTGTGTGAGCGGTACTGAGTGTATGAGGGGTTCTGAGTGTGTGTTTGTGTGTGAGAGGGATGCTATGTTTGTGTGTTTGAGGGGTGCTGTGTGTGGGTGAAGGGGGATATGTGTGTGTGTGTGTGTGAGGGGGTGCTATGTTTGTGTGTGTGAAGGGTGATATCTGTGAGGGGTGCTCTGTGTGTGTGTGTGTGTGTGTGTGTGGGTGCCTATACATTGGGGGGGTGGATAGGAGTAATTTAAATATTTTTTTTATTACTATTAAAACTAATAAAAAAGTATAAATACACTGTATGTCCCCTTTCCCCTCTCCTTACCTTTTACTCGGGGAGGGGGGACATTGTCCTGGTGTTCCAGTGGAGATGAGCAGCAGTACTCTGCCTGCAGCTCCTCTGGCTACAGGCAACTATCAGTCCTCCCGCGAGATCCTCAGAGCGTTGCCATGGTAACCTGCGGCAACGCTCAGAATTGCCAAACTCGCCTATAGGACCTTTCCGCCTCCCGGCTCCTCCTTCCCTCCCTCTACTGCAGGCTGCCTGTCAGCGCCTGTGGATCGGTGAGGGAGATCTTTGATCTCCCCACCACCCATGAATGCACAGAGCAGGGCCGGCGCTAGGATAGCGCTGGCTTTGCACGGACTAGCAGGGGAGATCCTGTGATCCGCATGACGAAAACCGGATCTGACAAATGCGGAACACAGCCGCGATCAACTAAGCCGACGAAACACTTCAATCAACCAATTAGATCTTTGCTCAACACTTAAAAGAAAAGTGGGAACCTGGATACTCACATCGATTGAGAAAGCCGACAGGGCGAAACGCGTCTCGGACTGTTCACAGGATTGAAGACTTTTAATATTATTCAACCATTGTTTGTTTTTTAAACTGTAAGTTTTTTTATCAAATAAATTTTATTTTTAACACACCTTCTCCTGTGGACGTAACCATCCAGTGTTCCAGATTTCTACCAGGAAGGTCTGTGTCCCCTTAGTGACACACATGTTGTTATACTCAGAGCCAGGTCTATAGGCTCTGATTAAGGCGAGCAGTTATATTTATCACATTTCCCTGCACCAGATATTGGTTTCTATCTTTAAAGGTTATACCAAGAAGTTATCATCTTAAGGTTCAGTGTCGCCTAAAACACATCAGCTAGAGTGATCTGAGCCTGTCCTGTTGAGGCTCAGTACCATGTGAGTGAATCCATACACATCTAATATAACATCACTCACTCGAAACGTACCACACTATTTTCTTTTATTTCGCTCCCCTCAGGTTATCTACCAATCCAGGAAGGGTGAGTTATTCAACCTTGAGTGCTCCACCTTATTGACTGGTGTTGGTTTTACACCATACAGTTAACCTCTATATCCTATCTATTTTGTGTCAAGTAGTGAGAGAATTGCACATTGGTGGCAGCAGCACAATTTCATCCACTCACAAATAAGTATAAGCGCCTGTATACACAATATCAAGAATCTTATATTCTTGTCCACATGATAATCAAATCATGAATAATTTTCCAATATCTGGCAAATTTTGGGCAAAACCACCATATGTATGCCATTTTTCCTGTACCTCCACAATCCATCCAACACCGGTCCAAATATGCATTGTTCATGTTGTGTAGTCTAGACGGAGCCAGTTACCAACAATATAAAATCTTATGGTGGTTTCAAAATGGTCAGTACAGTACGAAATTCCTTTAAGTGCAGTAAAAAAACTAATCCATTCTTTCAAACTATATTGTGTACCTAACTCCGTCTCCCACGATATCATGTGTCTCAACTTGTCTGAAGGTTTACCATTATAAACTGAGTAACAAAGTTAAATTATGCCTTCCTCTTTCTGGGTCATGCAGAAAAACTTTTTCAAGAGCTGAAAGTTTGAGTATCTTATAATTTTTATCGGTTTCTGGAACGTTGAATAATTCTTTCAGCTTGTTAATCATCACTAAACAATTAAATTTAGATTCATCTGGTAAACTGTGCTTGAATTTTAATTTATCAAAAGACAGTATGGCATTGCTATGAAAAAAGTTGTCTAGATTAGTTATGGAATAAGAATGCCAAGAATCTATGTCTATAGATGGTACATATTCTTTCAGCAATATGATTGGCATTGCTCTGTATAAACCTCTGGCATGAGTTTTATTTCTATAAATAAGGTCCCAAGCTTTAAATGTTGTTTTGGGTGAAAATAATAAATTGGTAGTTCTAGGTCACTTTTCCAGGCCTACCCAAAGAGCCTCTTTGAGTATAAATGGAAAAGCCATAACCTCCTCCATTTCTAGTCATCTCGGTTTATTAATATCGTTATTAAAACTAACTGCAACTGCGTCATTGGTTGCGAAATAATATTTCCAAATATCAGGTACAGCAATACCCCCATTGGATTTATTATGTTGCATAGCAGTTAGTTAGATTCTGCTTGGCTTCTTTTTCCAAATAAACGTTAAAATTGTTGAATTGATTTTTGAAAAGAACGATAACGGGATAGAGAGGGGTATGGTCCTAAAATAGTACAACATTTTTGGCAGGACTGTCATCTTAGCAGACGGAATCCTACCCAATTATGAGAGCTCCACCCCGCACCATCTCTCCATCTCTTTCCGCAAATCAGGCCATGCATTTTTGTTAAATTTTTACAAAGCTAATGCCTAGATAATCTATATAATCATTTCTCCAATTGTAGAAATATGAACTCTTTAGAGTCATAAGGTCTGAATGACTAATGTGAAAGGGAAGAGCCTGCATTTTAGATTTGTTAAGTTTGTAAAATGAAACCTCTCCAAACTGATGCAATATATCTTTCAAGTGTTTTAATGATTGTTTGGGGTTTTTGATTGCCAAGATAATATTGTCTGCAAACAATCCTATCTTGTGAATTGATTTACCAAACCCTATACCTTCTATTTCTGGATTTAGTCTGATAAGCTCGGCCAAGGGTTCAATAGCAAGGACAAATAAAAGTGGGGAAAAAGGGCATCCTTGCCTGGTTCCGTTAGACAAAGAAAATGTCTCAGACCTGAAACGAGAAGCATTAACATGGGCTATGGGGTTGCTATACAGTGACGCAATTGCATTTATAAAGGATGAGGGAATGTTACATTTGTTCAGCGTTTTCCATAAGTACCTTGAGTGAATTCTATTGAACGCCTTCTCTGCATCTAAAGATAGAAGCAAAGAAAGCGTATTAAGCAAATTAATGTGTTGAATCAAATTGATAAACTTCCGTCTGGTGCTTGTCTACCCTGTACAAAAGCTACTTGATCTTTGTTGATAATCAGCGGAATCAATTTATCCAGTCTA